AAAACTTTGAAAATGATTAAAAAATTGATTTAAGAGGTTTAAAATCAATTTAAAACAGTTAAGAATAGAAAACGATTGTACATACAATATAGTGCAATCAGTTCGGACATTGCACAGTGCTCATTCAGTAAATGCACAGCTAAACAGATGAGTTTTGAGTCTGCATTTAAATGTGACTAATGTTTTAGCACATCTGATCTCTTCTGGAAGCTGGTTCCAACTGCGGGTGGCAAAATGTGTGAACCCTTGGTATTTCTAACTGACTCGATCCTAATGATCTGAGTGGTCTGTTAGGTTTATATTCAGTGAGCATATCTGCTATGTATTTAGGTCCTAGGCCATTGAGTGATTTATAAACGAGTAAAAGTACTTCAATCAATCCTAAATATAACTGGAAGCCAGCGTAAGGACCTGAGGACTGGTGTGATATGCTCAGATTTTCTGGTTCTGGTCAGAATCCTGGCAGCAGCGTTCTGGATGAGCTGCAGCTGTCTAATGGTCTTCTTGGGAAGGCCGGTGAGGAGACCATTACAATAGTCCACCCTTCTGGTGATAAAGGCATGAACAAGTTTCTCCAAGTCTTGACTGGAAACAAAACCTCTAATTCTTGCAATGTTTATAAGATGATAGTATGCTGATTTAGTTACTGCTTTGACATGACTACTGAAACTAAGGTCTGTCTCCAGAATCACACCAAGATTCCTGACTTGAACATCAATTCAAGATTCCTGATCAACATCAATTCCATGTGACAGTATTAAATCTAGAGTATGATTTCGACAATGAGTAGGTCCTGACACGTGTTGTCTAACCCCAATAGAGTTCAGAATGTCTATGAATGCTGATCCCAATGCATCTTTTTCATTATGAACATGGATATTAAAATCACCAACAATTAAAACTTTATCTGCAGCCAGCACTAACTTGGATATAAAATCAGCACATGCTTTAATAAAGTCTGCGTGGTGCCCTGGTGGCCTGTATTCAGTAGCCAATACAAACATCACAGGGGATATATCATTAACATGTGCTTCTCTGGATAATGTTATATGAAGCACCATTACTTCGAACGAGTTATACTTGAAGCCCGCCCTCTGAGAAATACTGAAAACATTATTTTAAATTGAAGCAACACCTCCCCCTTTGCCTTTTGGATGTGGCTCATGTTTATAACAGTAATCTTGGAGGGTAGACTCATTTAAAATAATGTAATCATCAGGTTTTAGCCAGGTTTCTGTCAAACAGAGCACATCTAGGTTATGATCAGTGAACATATTATTTACAAAAAGTGCTTTCGTAGAAAGGGACCTGTTATTCAATAAGCCAAGCTTTATTATTTGTTTATCCATATTACATCTGTTTTTTATTTGTTGAACATAAATTAAATTGTTAAATTGTCGTTTTTTGTATTTTCTAGTTCAGGGAACAGACAGAGTCTCTATAGTGTGATATCTAGGTGAAAGAGTTTCTATGTGCTGAGAATTAACCGATTTCTGTGACATGAAGCGGCTAGCAGACGGTCAGTTTAGCCAGTCTGTCTGCTTCTTGGCCTGGGCCCCAGTTAGTCATGTACAAACTCTAAGAATATGTGCCATATTTCTAGACAGAAGAGCGGCACCACCCCCTCTGCGGGCCCCACTTAGACATCCAGCCATTGAGTGACGACAGTCTGCTATGTATCTCGTCACCACGGTAAGCAAGGAGGGGACCAGAGCATATTACAGTGTCTGACATCATGCTTGCAAGTTCACACACCTCTTTAATGTTATTTTTAGTAATCACCGACTAGTCGAACATCATTAGCGCCAGCGTGAATAACAATCTTACTGTATTTACGTTTAGCATTAGCCAGCACTTTTAAATTTGCCAAGATGTCAGGCGCTCTGGCTCCTGGTAAACATTGGACTATGGTGGCTGGTGTCTCTAACTCGCCAATAACTTCAGCACTTTGATCAGGTTTCTCAGTGGGTGCGTCACTGAGTGGGGAGAACCTGTTTAATGTTTTGATCGGAA